AATTTCCGATTGGTTTCAATAACGCCTGAGAGTGCCGTTACCACCGCTGGCTGTCTTATCTCTTCCACCTTACGTGCGGTGGCCGCGATTAATGCAATTTGCTTGTGCTTGGACAGCCGAGACGTTAATAGTTGATGCGATTAATTCAGGCTCAGCTTAACTTCGGAACGTATAGACATATTTCTCGTGTATAAGACAGAATGCGTACGCGGGTCAGTAATTACTTTGACAAATTAATCACTTCCTGACTTCTAGCTGCAAACTTTGTCCTTCTAGTTCTTTCGCGGCAAGATTGATTGACATTTACCAAAATTTTTCTTAAGCAATTTAATGTTATATTTTTTTCTCAGCTGTGCGAATGGTGATCGCAAGAAGCGCGATCCAGTTTTGAATTAATTTTTTTGGTCTAGATACATAAAAAACTCTGAAATTGTGATAATGTTGAACAGATGTAAAACTAAACATGGCTCGCCGCGCGAAGGAGCTGCCGAGATAACAAAGATCATGTGCGAAGTTGCGCCGCTCTCACACCATTGTAACGATGTAAATGCATGCGATACAACTGGCTCGTGTTGTACAGACAGTGCTAATGTAGCTCGCGATGTTCCATGTCAACCGATTAACGCGTGGCCATTTGCAGATTCGACCGCGAAAGCGTGGTCTGCAAAAGCGCGGAGTGCGCCATATGCATCCGTCCACGGATACTCGCGTAATTGCAAGACCCAATTTGTGTAATTTCGCAATTTGGCGCTAAAAGATTCATTGCTCGTCGTTGAGGTGAAAGACGATGAATGTTTGCAATATTCATTGCGGAAAGCGCAATTAGGGAATGCGATTGTTGTTAGCTTAAAATAACGGGATCGGGCGAGCACAATGTAAGATTATCGAGAATTTTGACTACTGGCGTGATTGTACTTTTAATCAAAAAAAGCTCGAAATAATATTCCATCTTAATGAAATGACGGAAAAAGCAGCGAAAATTATTGAAAAATTTATTGGTTTAAAAGCTTTTCCACTTCGACTCGTTGTTATGATGTCTGCGGTTCAATAATATCGTGTTAATGCGGTTAAATCCGCTAGAACTTTCTATTATTCTAGAATCCGCACATGACATTCTATATCGAATCACTATTAAGTCATGATTAAATTATCGCGTTATTAACGACTTCCGCGCTTGCGGCACGTAGATGCTTGGCGTTACAACGACCAAACACAATGATCGTTAGCGAGACGCGATCAATACGCTGGCTAACTGCTTATCCATCGCAGCTTATTTGTCATTGATTGTATCATGATTAAAACAGCCGTGCGCATATAACGAGCGTTGATGCTGCGCGCACATATACCGGCTTTGCCTTTTCACGTTTAGTGCGCGCATTATTTCTATGAAAATAAAATTCTACACATTTTTCGGGTTGCTTTATGCACGTATGGAATTACGAGGAAAAAATTGGAAAAATTTGGTGAACCAAAATGTAAAACTTGATTTTCGCCAATTTATTTCTCCACGAAATATGTGCGCGCGCAATTTTTTTATTTATACATTTGCGGCATTGGGCAATTCATCTCCTTACTTGTGTCTTATTTCGGAAATGTTGACGAGAGGCATCATCATATTTTGAGCCGGCTCTGAGTGCCGACATCGCTTCGTAGGGTGCATGTAACAGATAATGGAAACGTCACTCCGAACGCCACAGTGTTATCTCACGCGCAAATGTTATCTCTGCTAACTCCACGCGGCGGATAATGGCATTCGGCGTCACCGGATGAAACGATTAAAACGATTAGCAAGAAAAACACGAGCGAAAGTCGCGCTGTTTATCACGGCGATTACGGCGGGCTCGCGTGCGTTCTGTCGTCTCGTGGCCGCCTGCACACGTGACGCCGTAAAATGCAATTCGCGCGCTCGCTTTAATGGGATATCTATCTAACTTAATGTGACGCCATCAAAGCGACACTAAGATGTCTGTGCGAACGTCAGAATTAATTTCCGTGGCGATTAACGGTGAGCTATGCTCACCAGAACCCACCATCATCGTAATTGAAGAGGCGAGCGCTTGAAGGCGATATGGCGCGCATATGGCGATATGACGTACATATTTCAATGCGTTTGGTTCCGCAGTTCTATGCGGAACACTGATTATAATGATCGTTTTCTTGCTAGTGATATTATATTCAGTTATAACTTAAAGCGTCTCGGGAGATTCTTACATTTGAAACAGCGAAAGAGGAGAGAAAGTAAGCTGCGCTGTAATTTGCGTTTTTTTTTTTTTAAGAGAAATATGCAATAATAAATCACTTTCGAGAACCTGTCGGAAGAATTAATCCATCACGCTTTGTTTAAAGAGAAATGAAGCATGTATTAGTAGGAAAAATCAACATAATTTGCGCGACGATTATTTCAAATAGAGACTCGTGGAACTAAGTGCTCCATGTAATTGCGCGTTCAATAATCATGATTTATTATCTTATGTCCTGTGCAAAACAAGTATTTATGTAACACGAAATGTACATATGCGTGTGAAAACACATTGCATGTAGAGAAAAGTGAGACTAGCTTTTACGGTTTTTCACCGATAAATTAATAATGACTCTAATTTTTACTAAACGCCTACATTACTTGTTAATTACACGTACATTTCACATTTTATCTAGTTTTCTTGAAATTTTTACGAAGATGGATATAATATTTAAATACACATTTTGCAACAATTTATTCTTGACCGATATTTATCGAGAAAAAAATTAATTATGGGAGACAAAACATTTTATCTACATTTAATTTTACATGATTAAATTAAGTTTCTGAGAATTGTGTTTGATAAAATTGTATTTTCGTATTTTAATCGCAATATTTTAATAACACTTACAATGTGTTTTTTGACTCATGATTTTAATCGAGATTTTACAGTTCCGTGCACTGCTAACAGAAACTGGGCAGGATGAGCTGCGCGTTCGTATCTCTCATTTTTGCTTCGTCTAAGTAACGCTGCTTCTGGTAGATTTCTGTAAAATTACATCGTAACAACTTGCCTTGTGTAAGAACAAGTTCCATTCTGCTCCTTCAAAAACAGCTTTAGTTTTTTTGCCGCGCAGAATGGTACTTCGCAAAATAGACATTCCGTGCCAAGTTTCTCGCGGAATGATGAAATTTTTCCGAGAGCAACGGACAAGGACTTGTTGCTCATTTTTTTCCCCCCGTTCTCGCTCGACGGCAGCGCGGATGGGCGAAGTCGATATCGTCAATTAACCCAAGATTGTTTACCGGTTATGTCATGAGACGGTCGAACAGGCGGTACTATGTAACCGACATCGCACTATGTAGCAGACATGCACATACCTATGGTCAACCCCTCAGGTAATGGCAAATGTCGCTCGGTCCGCCGCTCGATCGCCGCACCGATTCTCCGACGGAAACGTTATCGTTCGTGATTCTGCAAGGGAAATGGTACGATTCAACTGGCTGCTCTAATGGCGCCGAATGTGTGCACACAGTTCGAAATGAACAGAATACTCTCCGTGAGAGAGAATTAGTAATTTTTTGTTTTATTCAAAAACATCTAGTACAATATCGCTCGATGATAGCTTTGAGAACTCAATCTGTAAGCGGTGACCTTGGTCTGTGCTTATTTTTTGCTAAATATTTATCGCTTTATCGCTCCGTTTATACCGTTGAATATTTATTACTTTGTTGCAAATCAACGTTTTGCGAGGAGAATAGAATAGTTTATCAATTAAATAGACAGAAGTGATTTCAGTGTAAAGTTTAAATTGTAATTTTATAAGAGTTGATTTCACGGAAAATTGTTGTGCGTTATTTAGGTAGATTTTTTATAGTCTTTGTTATTCTTTTATTGTCTTATTTTATCAAATAACTGTAATGCAATTGCGAAATATACGGAAGTCAACGATGCACATATAAATATAATATCTGCAAATTTGCGATCATTTTAGCAACAACTTCAATCTTCAAACTTTTATATATTCCGCACCATTTTGGTCAAATATGATTAAAATATCTGGACCTACTCCGCGTCGTTGTTTAATTCTATTTAAGTTTGACAATTTTGTCGGGTAATCGAGTTTTCGTCGGTTTACAAGCAAAATACGGCGAATATTTATAACCGAATGTAAAATTGCGAACGCTACGTTTTTAAAAACATGTCAAGTACGGAGCGAAATTTAACGTTGACACGATGGCGTATCTCTTCTCTGTAATGTCAGTCGGAATTGTCAGGGTTTTATTTTTAACTTGGAGTTGCAAGCGATGCCTGGTATTGAATCGCGCGGGCCGAGATATTCCAACGGAATATAATCCGCTTAATGCAGTTATCTATTCATCTATCCGTTGGTTGATTCGCTTATCGTATCACTCTTGAAACCATTAATATAGATACGCGTACAATTTGCGTATAGTAAATCGAAACATGCTATTGTAAAATTTTCTGTTCTGTGCTGTTGTACCAATTATCAATTGGATATTGGTATAATATTAATTAGAGCTCTCTCCCTGTAATTGTTAGAATCAGGTTTATTTGCTTATCAAATTTGCAAGTACAAATAAATGAATAACATGCACGTATCTAAAATGTACAATGAACACACACACACACACACGCGCGCGCGCGCGCGAGATTTGTTAATATCATTTATTTATCAATAGACTAAATATTTAATGATGTCGCTCTTTGTCGCTCTAAAATAATACAAATTCAAAGGTAAAATATTTGAGAGACAAAAAGTGAAAATGGGGGCGATCGAGCGTTCGACTGTATATAACATTGTCGATATTTTGTACGAGAGGTACGCACGAAAGCTACAAATGAGCAATTAATTAAGCGTTCCAGCGCGCGCGGCGCATGACGCAAGATTAATCCGCCTAATCACAAGTCTGATAGCCGGCCGCCGAGCCGAAGTCGAGCGTTATCCTTCTCTCGATCTGTCTCTCGATTGGCCGGCAAGCTCAATCAATAATCACGGTCCTCCTCCTCTGCTTGCAGGTTGCCCAGGAAGCGAGCGGTTCTGCTGGCGATTTGTCTTTTGGCCACTTGCACGGGTAAGTCACTCCTTTGCTGCGACATCACTCGTTTCCGCGACGAATTTATTTGGCCGCACGTTGCGGAGATCGTGCTTCGGGAACGGCGATGTTCGAAGCACGCGCACAGCCGCGAGCGTACCAGACGGCGGTACAGCTGAGTAGAATTTTATTTGATTCCTGTTAGGCCGTTTCAGCGCGGCCTCGCCGACTTCCGGGGTGGGGGAGGGGCCGCGGAGTTATGGCATCTTCCGTTGCTTTACGGGCTCGTTTGAATTCCATAGGCGAAACATAACCATCGCGGAAAGTGGAACGAAATTTGCGCGCGGGGATCGGAAGAATATGCGCGCTGCCTCTAGAAACGTGTCTTACACACCGTTACTGTTCCTTTTTTCAATTTACAAGAAAAATTCATTGACACACACGTGAGAAGAAAAGGAACGATGAAGTATCAAATAATTGCTTAAAGCTCACGCGCTTCATCGTGCGCAAAAATCTATCGTATGAAAACAAAAAAAAAACGCTATTGTAAATCATATCACTAGAGCTACGCTCGCGAGCTAAAGGATGGCTGTTTAAATATCTCGTTGTCGTAAACGAGATCGAAGTAGCGGGCATCCAGATACGAGGAAGTACGAGGGGTGGTTAGGTGCCGTGCGGAGGTGTACAGGGACGGAGGAAAGGCGTTTCCTCCTTCCGGCGGGGAACAGGAAGCTTCTAGCGAACTGCCTCTCCATTCTATCCGTCTCTCTCCCTTTCTTTCCCTTTTTCCTTCCCCCCCCCCCCCCGTCTGTCTTTCTGTCTCTCCATCTCGTTTTCATCCGCTCTCGTCTTTCCCACTCCGCCCGCAGCCCAAACCCTCTCATCTCCGTATCTCGACGGGGTTTCCCTTGGAGGAAGCGAGCGAACCTTTCCCCCCTCTAACGTTCCCCTTCATCTTTTTCCAACGTTCGCGCGTCTCTCCTTCTTCTTGTTACAAATATATATTGCGACTAACGCTGATTGCGGGTAATGCAGCAAAGCACCGCGTGCTTATTTCGCCAGCTTTGCGAGGGTTTGACGTTTTCTGCGTTTCACGAGTCATCTTCAGCTTTATTGGCTAAATTTCTAGATATTACATTCCACTTTATTACGTGTTGCATGCCCCTTTTCTTTCATTTTCTCTCAATTTTTATTATTGGACGTCTATTTGTATATTATTTGTCGTACTGTTTTGCATAATTATTTCTATATTTTCTCTACTTATCATTCGGCACATTGTACATCTTGTATATGCGCCGGTTCAACGCTCTTGAGAAACGTGGTTTCACAGAGTACAGCATAAATGATCCTCTTTCATTCTTTTTTTCTTACATTTAAGATAAAATATACATACTTAGTATTTATTTTTTCTTTTATTCACTTGCTT